TGGACGATTTTACAGTTTCCAAAACGCATTTACGCAGAAGCTCAACACTCAAATCCCCAACTAGATCTCATCGTCAGCTACATTTTCCGACCCCACATCAATAGGTTCTGATAAGCGGTTCTCGAGATTTCGAGCCATTTATGCAAAGCTTTTGGTGCACTACTATTAGAGAAAATACGGTAACAGATATAAACATATAAACATAATTATTGAAATTTCTATTTACCCGAATAGTCTATCCGAATTCGATCCGAAAATTTCCGATAATCCGATCCTAAATTCGATGCCCAAAAATTTCGAAATCCGAATCCGTTCCGAAATTTTACTATCCGGATCGAAAGCTTTTTTATCTAATGTAATAAAATCACTCCTGTCCATACTGTAATAGTACCCCACCTCCATAATGACAGTGCGGAGTGTCGCGTAGTCGAGCTTTGAACGAGTTTTTCTCGACACCGGCTTATGCTACAATGCTCGTTTAGGTATCAAAAAATAGCTGAAGTTCAGGGCTATTTTTTGACACCTAAACGCGCATTGTAGCATAAACCAGTGTCGAGAAAAACGCGTCCAAAGCTAGACTACGCAACACTCCGCACCGTCATTATCTTTGGTATCAAAAAATAGCCCTGAATTTCAGCTATTTTTTGATACCAAAGACGCATTTTTTGAAAGTACGGGCGCTTTGAAAAAAATGAAATACTAAAAAACGAATAAAACTTTTGCGACTACGCGACTGTACGAGGGCGGTGGGGTACTATTACAGTATTTACGGTAGTTTATTTGTTCCCGTTTGTATCTTCCCATGTTTTAAAGAAAATAACCAAATTTGTTTAAATGAATAATGGGTAAAGTTGATACAAGGTGCTGGAATAAATCTTAAAATACTTTAAGAATATTTTAAGAATACTTTAAGCCATCCAAATTGAATCTTCTTTAAATTTTGCAAATCTTTAAACCACTGAAAAACTTTGAGACACAAAATGAATCACTCTGAAAGCTTCCAGGAAACAATTGTATTGAAAAAAAGATTCCCGAACAATTACTCAATTTCAATTCCAATAACCGATCCAAACTGATAGTGAATCAGAAAAACCAGATAAGAAATTGTAGTTTCTCATGCTGAAGTTGATGTATGGTAAGCTGTTAATCGAGTACTTTGATTTGAGATTTTAGAAAACTTGTGGCCAATGGACAATGGACTCTGGCGAGGCCAATGAGCTCTGGCGAGGTCAATGGACTCTGGCGAGGTCAATGGACTCTGGCGAGGTCAATGGACTCTGGCGAGGTCAATGGACTCTGGCGAGGTCAATGGACTCTGGCGAGGTCAATGGACTCTGGCGAATAGAAAGCCCTAGCTTTGCCCAATCCTAGCAGAATACGATAGCTTTTATTTGAAGAGCAGTTTTTAGAAAGTGTCTTAATCAATAGGAAATCAATCTGGAAGTACCCATATCCAGCCTTGAATCTGGACGAGTTTCCGTTCATTACAGCAGGCTTTAATCCAAGCTATTCCATATAAAGACTAGAGAATAAGGTAGAGATTGCAAGTTGATTGTGTTTGACAATCTGTCGTCTATTGTTGGCTAAATCTCGGATTGAATCCATAAACAAGTTGCTGTATGTATGGATTCTTGTGGTGTATGGATTCTTGTGGTAAACACTTTGTCTAAGCTGAGCTGAGCTGAGGAAATGAGTCTTTTAGCTGGCCACAAAATGCGAGATCAAGCCACGATGCACAACGCACACTTTAATGCATTTATCGCTGTTGGCTCTTTAGTCAAAACAATACCAATAACAAATCTAACTACATTAACAAATCTAACTACGATAGCCCTTCAATAAGTGAATAGTAGCCAGGAGTCACAATGTGATTCACAAATTGTTTTGTTTTTTTTGTTCACAAACTGTTTCCCCACATCCAGACACACCCATCCCAAGATCAAAAAGCGAGCGCTCTCACATTTTTTTGTGTCCTAGGCCATAGATTTGACTCATTTAGTGCTGAACTTTGAGTTAGAATTTCAAATTTCGATTTCTACTGATTTTACGAAGCTCCGCCTTCAATGTGGGCGAACTTGTAACTATTTTAGGAGAGAAAAGAGACTCTTTTCTTATCAAAAACCATTTAGGCACGTTTGTCATTCAGTTTTCCATTCGAATTTCTCGATTCTTTTTCTCTTCTTGCGTCAATTTCCGGTGATCTTTCAGGAAAATAGTTTTGATTTTGTTTGTTGATAAGGAAATCATCAAATTGTTGACTTTTAAAGTGTTTATGTCATCAATTTAGTGATCTAAACTTGTACTCAAAATCTACTTGTACTCAAAATCTATTACTACCAAGCTTTCTTTAAATTTAACATCTTTCAAACCCAAACTATTCACTCATTCTGTTTTGTTTTTAAAAAAAATTGACTCTTGTTTCAAATTTAATCATATTATGCTTAATACTTCTTTACTAATTAATGACTTTTTTTTGTTGATTAAATTTTAATTACGAAATAGCTCTGAAACAAACTTCTTTTATTATCAATTTACTTTATTTAATATATTTATTAAACAAAAAATGAATATCAATTCTTTTCTTTATAAAGATTAAAGAAATAAAGAAATAACGAAATAAAGAAATAAAGAAATAAAGAAATAAAGAAATAAAGAAATAAAGAAATAAAGAAATAAACCCATTAAAGAACCGATTCGACTTTCATAACCATCCATTTTGAAACAATGAAGTTTATTTTGAGTCAAAGTTTCGAAAAAAGATGGAAAGTACTTTAAAAGTTCTTTAAAATTCACTTTATCTAAATAATATCTAAATATTATTTAAATATTATCTAAATACTATCTAAATACTATCTAGAAATTCTAACTTTTCTTCATTACAGCTTTGAAAAGTAGTTATATCATTAATAGACTGAAATAGATTGACTTTCCTCATCCCGAAGACGTTTATTTTGAAACTCGTTATTTTGAAACTCGCCTTTTCCTTATTTCTCAACTTTTGCCCTTTTCTGACTATTAATGATTAAAAGAATTAAAAATTATGAAAATAAATCGGGGTACGAAATGATTGTTTGATGTGTGCTCACGTGAGAGACAATGAATTGATAAAGGGAGTCTATTAAAAAGGAATTCGAAATGGGGCAAAAAGGGTTGAAGTCCACCGAAATCTCGTTTTTCTTTTTCTTTGGTTTCAAAGTATACTTCATCTTTTATTTGATTTAAATATCAAATGTTTAACGATTGTACAAGATGTTTAACGATTGTTGCACAAGTTGTGACAGTTATAGAATAGTTATAGCTTGATTCAATGCTGTAAACCTTTTCTAAAAGTCATCTTTTTCAGACGAAATACTGTAGGGACTGTAGGGACTGTAGGCAGAATTGTTTTAGAAAAATACCGTAATCTATTCGTCAGTTTACACCAAATTAGCTAAATTTTGATATTATTGACTGAGTCTTGTCAAATAATCCAAAATAAATTGTCAAATAAGCCAAAATAAATTCGGTTTATTGAATTGATGATTTTATTACGAAAATAGATGTGTTTTAGAAACTGGATTGCCTAAAATGTCGCGAGGAACTACCGTGCTCTAGTTGTGCTTGGATTTGATTGCATAGATTGATTTTGATTGTCCATAGCATGGATAAAACTACCATAATTCTGGCGTTTTTGTAAGGAACTAGTGGAAAAGTTTTTCAAAGGAAAGGCAAGGTTTAAAGGTTGTCAAAGGAAGCTAAAAATGAAGTTGAACTTGGGAAAAAGCTCTTCATATCCAATAAGAATATTATATTTCCTGATCTCACACTATTCCTCATTTATTTATCATTTTTAGTTTTTGTTGTACGATCTGCTATAAAACAAACGCAATTTTATTCGTCCTTTTCCTTTTTTTCCCTTTTTTCCCTTTTTAATCTTTGACTTTTCAATTTCTTGAATTTCTAGCTGCAATCTTTTAAAAAAAACAACTTAACCAAGAAAAAGATTTTCTCCATTGCTTAAGAAAAGAATTTTGATTCAAGGAAAATCTTTTTTAAGTATTTATCTTACGGTTATGGTGAATATTTAAATGAATTTGTTTCTTGTAGATGGTAGACTCATTTTATTCTCATCAAACTTCAGATAGATCTCAGCCAACTTCAGATAGATCTCCACCAACTTTCATTTTTCCATTTATCAGCCATTTGTTTAATTTTTCTTTCTTTTTCTTTCTTTTTCTTTCTTTCTCTTTCTTTCTCTTTCTTTCTTCTATTCTATTCTTAAAAGTTATTAGTTTCTATAGCATTTTTAAGACTAAAGAACTAAAAAGACTATCCGGCTTTGGACCGACTGTCTATCAGATCTTAGAACTGATCTTAGTTTTCTGATCCTTCTGTCTGATCTTTCTGTCTGATCTCTGATCTTTGGAACACGTTGTTCTAATTGTACTTTTAGTACTATCAATACTGTAAGTACAATACAAAGAATCGAACAAAGAATCGATTAAAGAATCGATCAAAGAATCGATCAAAGGCTCATCTAAAAGTTTATTTTAAAACTTGTATTTTCAATTGAATAAACTGCTATCTTAAATCTTCAGATTTAAAAATATTCAATCGAAAAATGCACGGCCAAAAGCATTTCCCTTCAAGATTCGATACGATTAAAAATTCAGGCATTTCCCTTATTTAATCAACTTTGAAACTTGCTTTTTTTCATTTTCAAAAAAGTTTTAAAACTCTTTATTTTATCAAAGATTTTTTAAATAAGATAAGAAATTTTATAGTTTTTATTACTTTGTTTTATTATTATTTATTATGTTTTATTATGTTTTATTATGCTTTATTATTTATTTTGCATCAGCTATTATTTATTTTGCATCAATTTTATCGTATCAAATTCTTCTAGACGTTAAGCTTCGGAAATTCTTGAAAATTCTTTTTTTTCTTTTCCTTCAGCACTGTTTTCTTTAGTTCTATTTGTCCAATTTTTATAAAACACTAACGAAATATAACTTTTTTAGATGATGGCACCCAATTCGATGCTTTACTTCAATCAATCCGTCTCCCCAAGTTGTTCGTCGGAGATCCAACCGACTCAACTCTTGCCATTCCCCGTTCTAAATCCACAATTGTGTAAGTATTTATAAAAGTATTTAGTATTCAGTATTTAGTATTCAGTATTTAGTATTTAGTATTTAGTATTTAGTATTTAGTATTTAGTATTTAGTAATCAGTATTCAGTATTTAGTAATCAGTATTTAGTATTCAGTATTCAGTATTTAGTATTTAGTATTTAGTATTTAGTAATCAGTATTCAGTATTTAGTAATCAGTATTTAGTAATCAGTATTCAGTAATCAGTATTTAGTATTCAGCTAAAAACTATAGCTCATTTTATGGCAAACAATTCTTTATTAAACTTTTAGTTTTCCTTCCGAATGCCTTTACCCTGCCTTTCTTCAACGAAATTCCCTCATCGAACTCGGCAAGCAGCGAGCGATCGGTGAGTTTTAACGATTAAAAGTTTGACGGTTGAGGGTTAAAAGCCAAATTTTACTCGTTTAATCATTTGCTTTCAATTTTGATTCATTCAAAATTCATCATTGATTCAAATGATCTCAATTTTCCACAGAAATCAATCAAATTTCAATTACAATTACAATAACAATTACAATTTCAATTTCAATTTCAATTTTTAGTCACCAGCCTCATCGCCGGAAAATTTAGACGACACAAGCTCGCAGCATGGATCGATCAAGGTAACATTTGCACAAATCTTGAAAGCTATACTTGTCTTGAAAGCTGTCTGTCTTCTCTTGAAGCCTGTCTTGTCTTGAAGCCTGTCTTCAAAGACATTAACCTCAACCAAATTGTTACAAACTAAGAGATTTACAGTATTGTTTACTAAAGTAATTATTCTAGGCTGGCGGCAAGGTGAAACGCGGTCGACCCCAGCAGGAGATTCACGACGATCTCGAGGATCCAAACAGTCAAAAGAGAAAACACCGACGATTGTACGCGAGGCAGTACAGAGCACAGGTGATTTTATGAGATTTCTATGAAATCAGATATAAATAAGCTAGTACAAGTATTTTCAGTTGGTGGTGGCTTTAAAATTTCTTAAAAGAACTACTGTATCGGTGAATCACTAGATTTTATCAAAGAAGCTAGCCCAATTAGTCACGCCTTAGTTTAGTCATTTTCCAAGTAAAAAAAAGTGTTTTTCTTTTCGTGATCAGACAAGATTAGTCAAGTATAGCATTAAAGAATTGGAAAGGAAAGAAAGAAAGAAAGAAAGAAAGAGAGAGAGAAAGAAGTAGAAGAAGGAGAAGTAGAAGAAGAAGAAGAAGAAGTAGAAGAAGAAGAGGAGGAGGAGGAGGAGGAAGAAGAAGTAGAAGAAGAAGTAGAAGAAGAAGAGGAAGAAGAAGAGGAAGAAGTAGAAGAAGAAGAGGAGGAAGAAGAAGAAGAGGAAGAAGAAGAAGAGGAAGAAGCAGCTATTATGTCCCAAATGAAAGAATTTAAGAATTTAATTTAATAATTGAATGAACAAGATTAAAGAAAGGTATTCAGTTGATCAATTGATGATTTCAGATGCGTCAAAAGATCGATGAGGTGAAAAAATTGCAAGACGATTTAGCGGAAGTGAAACGAAAACATCAGGATGAGATTGCTGGCTTGAATCAGTGAGTTTTTATTGAAGCACTTTAAAGTTTCCCATTCACCTTTGCCAACTATTTTTTTGGCTTTAACCTTTTCCCAACTTTACCCGTCAAAAGCTACAAAATGCTGTAAAGTGGCAGAATTGCAGACTTAACAATTCCAGACTTAACTTTAAGAGCACCAACACATAGTGCATATCTAAAATTGTTAGATGTTAGAATTGGTAGTTAGATAGATCTATTGATCAAAAGCAACTCATCCAAGAGATTCGCTACTATAGTACACATCTAATTGATCACTATTGATCACACCATTGATCCAAACAATTTTCTAATTAATCTCTTTTCCAGGATCATCACCAATCTCATTCAAATCAATCAACAACTAATGCCCACCGTTTTTGCCTCATCATCGCCGAAGAGAGTGATTTAAATTCAAAAACTTTCCAGCTCAAACGGTGCTCCAAAAAGAGCTTACATTGAATACTTTCATTTAATATTTTGTCTTTTCTTTGCTTTCAAATTTTTTTGAAAATTTCTTTCATTCCCAGTGCATTCATTCATTTTCCTCAAAAGCTTAAAGCTTGCTTTGTAAATTGCTTTTATTTTACTTGTGATAACTATACTTTCTTCGTTAATAACTTGTTTTCTTCTTGGAATATATTTCTTCAATCTTCAATCTGTTGATTACACTTTGGATATGATAAAACAGAAAAACATTTACCATTTTTATAAAATTTTAAAGTAGGAGAGTTCAAAAATGTGTAAACATTGACTGGAAATTAGCATTTAGCTTAGAAAATTGCAGGTTTTAGCTGTTTACTTAGGAAAGAAGAGTTTAGATCTTTGCTAAAGAAAGCAAAGCTAAAGCTAAAGAAGAGCTCAAGCAAAGCTAAAGCAAAGCTGGCAAAGCTAAAGCAAAGCAAGGCTAAAGCAAAGCAAAGCTAAAGCTAAAGTCTCATAATCTATCCACAGTACTTAAGCATTATGGAAATAGCCTCTGTACTTCAACAGCTTAAAACTTCAGACTTAAAACAACAGAATTGATCTAAGGTTTTTGACTTCCTCTGCCACACCCAATCCCTCCTTTTCACTTGCCCAAATTCGACGAATCCCTCACCGATATTTGTCACTTATTTGTCACTTTGGGTGCGGCCCATTTACCTTACTAATAGTTAATCGAAATCTCGAAAGATTACAGATATTTTGCGGAAAATTAATTTTGTATCTAGTTTTGTCAAAAGGTCGAAAAGTCCACTCCATATTGAAGTCTTATCTCAGCGAAAATTCGTCGTCCGATCTCCGAAAACGTAACTCTTTGACAGATTTAGGAAAGATAAGAACCAAAGAAAAAGAAAAAGAAATATGGAAATACGAAATGGGCAAAGAGTTTGCTTGTTTTTCAAAAAACGGGATCTTATTTTGTGGAAGATGGAAAGAATGAGGATGGATCATTGTTGGATCATTGTTGGATCATTGTTGACTGACTCAGGCTCAGGTTCTACTGTTCTAAAATGTTCTCACTGTTCTAAAATGGATCATTTTTGACTTTGACTTTTCGAAATTATTTATTCTCCATTGAAAAGGCAAAACGATGAATCACATTTCAATATTTATCTGAAAATAAAAGTCACTCAATTAAATTACAAAGTTAAGAAATAAGGTAATCTTTGGTTTGGATAGATTGATGAGATGTGGAATTGAAGAAGAGTGCTTGTTGTTGAGTGATTGGACACTGGAATGATGTTCTTTTTAGATTAGCTCCCAAGCGCCAAACTTCAACCATAATCTGTTAAGTATTATATAAATATTGAAGCCCATAATCTTAGCTACAATTATCTATTAAAAGTTTCCCAATTTGAGATATGCAACTCATTTTACAAGCGTTTGAATGAGTACTAACAGCAATGGAGGAGGTCTACGTGGCGTCAATACTACGGTAACTACCGCTCTCGTCCAATCCTGACCGCGTATTATTTCAGCCTGATCCACAATTTTCAAAGCTATATCATGAAGCTGAATTTCGAATTCAGCTAGCTAGCTAGATTCGAGCTAGCTTCTATTTTAGCTTCAAAATATAGCTTTAAAAATTGCCTGAATAACCGCTTCCTTTCGATCGTCTTTACTCATCGCTTTTCACGGGAAATCCCCTCGAATCGTTTCCACAAATTGGCTAAAAATGTGAAAAGTTAGCACTTAAATGCTTGCTGCTAGATTTAAAAACCAAAACTCAAAAGAAATACCGATTAAGTGGCACAACATCTCAGCTGATGTCGACAGTTGAGTCGTTGAGGGGAGAGTCGAGAGAAAGAACTGAAAATAAAAATTCTTGATGTTAAAAGTTGCATAAAATGTTGTTTAATGGCTAAAAAAATGTCTAATGGCGGCATTAATGCGAAAAGATTTATCTTAAAAAGTAAAATTACTTAAAAATGACCTCAAAGTTTTTAGAATTTTGATAACTTTCGAATCTAAATGAAAATTTCCAAGTACTGCCATCAATCTTTGAATTCGAATAATACTTGGAGTGATTTAAAAAGGAAAGTCGAAGTTTTCTAATCAGTAAAAGAGTCACGTTGATGAAGATTTTGATGAGCAGCCAAATGACGAGAAATATGGAGATAAAAGCCGCAAGAAGAGCTCGCAAAAAGGCGCTGAATTCCTCGAGAAAGCCGAGCTCTTCGCGTGACTAAATTTAAGCATTTTGTACTGGATTTATAAGATTTTGCCTCAAATTTTAAAGCTTTTGGATTACTGAAAATAAAGTTATTAAAAAAACCCAACTTCTTTATCATTTCCTTTCTCCGAAGCGACCATCTTTCAAAAGAAATAGTTGAAAATAAAAAAAAAACAAAAGTTCTTTCTTCTGAACTATAAATGCAAAATGAAATTTGTTAAAGATGAGGATTTTCTTAGAATTCTGACTGATCTGACTTTCTTCTTAAATATTTTGTTTTCTAAATATTTTTAATCTAACATCAGCATTAAGATCAATAGTAACCATTGATTGGTAATTACTTAGAGTTAAACTTTGCTTCGTTTCAAATATATTCTTTAAATTTTTCTTGTATTCTTTAAATTTATATATATATGCTTTATTCAGTTGAATAATAATACAAAACAAGATCACAATAATCACCCAGGACACCACTCAATACACACCCAAAAGATGTGATAAAAAGATACCTCAAATTGCTAATTCAAATAAACCTTGTTTCACTAATTTTCCTCTAAAACTTTCCATTTCCTCTAAAAGCTCCAACAGTTTCTTTTTTAATCGCGTTATTAAATTGTGGAAGATTTTACCCCCTCAAGTACCTCAAGTTCGTGATATTCCAGTTTGTGATATTCCCACCTTGGCTAGATTTAAAGGCATTTCGGCAACTCATTTGACTTCTCTGTGATTCTTTCTTGAGGTATTATTATAATTATTTAATGACGAGGAAGAGATTCTAGTTTTGATTAGAGTAAAATCTAATAAGATACCAATCTAATATGATACCAATTTAATAAGATACCAATCTAACATGATACCCATTCAAAGCCTTAAACTTCATTTACTTCAATCAAATTGCTAATTCAAATAAACTTTGTTTTTTTGACTCAATGCTTTCTCTTAAAAATCCCCAATCAGCTCACCAAATTGCGGATTGCCTTCTTGTAATGATTTTCAGAAGTTCCACATCTTTAAACAAGAAAAGCTAATTCAAATAAACCTTGTTTCACTAATTTTCCTCTAAAACTTTCCATTTCCTCTAAAAGCTCCAACAGTTTCTTTTTAATCGCGTTATTAAATTGTGAAAGCTTTTACCCCCTCAAGTACCTCAAGTTCGTGATATTCCAGTTTGTGATATTCCCGTTCGTGATATTCCCACCTTGGCTAGATTTAAAGGCATTTCGGCAACTCATTTGACTTCTCTGTGATTCTTTCTTGAGGTATTATTATAATTATTTAATGACGAGGAAGAGATTCTAGTTTTGATTAGAGTAAAATCTAATAAGATACCAATCTAATATGATAATCTAATACCGATTCAAAGCCTTAAACTTCATTTACCTCAATCAAATTGCTAATTCAAATAAACTTTGTTTTTTGACTCAATGCTTTCTTTTAAAAATCTCCAATCAGCTCACCAAATTGCGGATTGCCTTCTTGTAATGATTTTCAGAAGTTCCACATCTTTAAACAAGAAAAGCGTGTTTCACTGATCCATTTGTCTCATCGTCATTTATCTGTTTATCTTCTACAAATGCTGGGAAAATCGAAAATCAGAAAGTCAAGTACCAAAACGTTTTTTCTGGTATTTTTTCTGTTTTGTCTCCGATTTTTCAAGCTCATTTTCTCTCAAAAAAAACTTGCCAATGATGAGAAAAAAAGCTGTAGTTTCTTCACGGATTTCTATCAAAATAAACAGAAAAAGGTAAGGAAGTGAATTTGATTCAGATCTTTGACTCGAATCACCTTGATGAACCTTTTTTTGAAAGCTAAATCAGCTAAAGATTGCGAATAAATGGTTTTAAAATTTTGGAATTTAGTGTAATACTTGAAAAAAGCACTTGTTTAGCCGAAAGATCAGCAAAAAAAGAAAAAAACCCGCTATTAGGCTGGCTTTTTTTGGCCCGATGCTTTGTCGCGGTGGCGCAGTCAGGAGCGCGCTTCCCTACAGCTCGCACGATCCGGATTCGACCCTCCATTCCCACTCATCTCTTTTATTTTTTAGAATAGAATAAAATAAATTCAAAGATTTAATTAAAATGATAGTTAAACAATCATTAAATGTATAAATAATAAAAATAAACCAAGAAAAGATTAAATGGAAATGCCTGGGTTATGGGTATACCTCGAGGGATGGGTGTACCTCGAGGGATGGGTGTACCTCGAGGGATGGGTGTACCTCGAGGGATGGCTAAGTTGTTGTTGTTGTTGTTGTTGTTGTTGTTGTTGTTGTTGTTGTTGTTGTTGTTGTTGTTGTTGTTGTGGGGATGTTGTTGTTGTTGTTGTTGTTGTTGTTGTTGTGCCAAAAAGTTGTTAAAAGCTATCTATTTAACGCTTAAACATAGCACAAATCATCAAGTAAGGCAAAAACGGCATAAAGCCTGGACGTCAGCATGAGTTTTACTAGTTTTTGCTTGAATTTAATATCAATCACTGCTACTAGTACTATAATATTTCAGAAATGCAAGAAAGTGGCTTGAAAAATTTGAAATTTATAGCTAAATTTTGAAGCCAACTCAATTTCCACATCAAATTTTGCAAATCAAAACTTTGTTTCAATGTTTTCGTGTTTGAATTCAATGTTTATTTCAATGTTTTCGTGTATGAATTTATGTGGATTAAACTCAAATCTTGCGTACTTTATTTCATATCTTGAATAAAGTATCTTTCAATGAGTTTCCCGGACTCAATTTTTGCAGCTTTCTGTTTACCGAATCAAATCTGGGAATTGCTTGAAGTTTCGCAACTTCCCGATCAAAAAGTGTATGATCCCGTGATGCAAAGAGATCAAAATCTTCCACTTTCCGTTAAAAATTTCACTGAGTTGTGAATCACTGAGTAGACGCAGATTTTTGGTTCTTTTTTTTAAAGAAACTGGGAAAAGAAGAAAAGAAAGGCGTTCAATTGCACTCAAAAAATAAATAGATCAGAATTTCGATTGCATTTTCATTTTCATTGCATCTGATCTTATTTGATGGGTTCAAAGAGTGCTTGGATGACAAGAAAGAAATCAGATTTTGTATTGGAATTGTGAAATGGAGATGAGGAAATGGAGATGAGGAAATGGAGATAAATGAAATTTTGAGAATAAAATGCTTAGTATTATAATTCTAATTGTAATTGTAATTGTAATTCTAATTCTAATTCTAATTCTAGTTTTTTTAACGTCTTGCGAATGAAAGTTTCAAGCTTAGGAAAATAGTTGATGGGTTCAAAGAGTGCCTGAACGAGAAAAGAAATCAACAACACACGGAAAGGAATCAAGTTTAGTACACATGGACAAGGACAAAGTGAGTGACAAAGCAAGGACAAAGTTCAAAGGCAAAATATCTCTTCGCATTTCTTCGCATCCATTTGTGGAGAAAGTAAAATGATTCTTGGTTATTAGACAAAAGGTTATCTAATTTTGCTTTCTCTACAGATGGATGCGTTTGAGATTTGTCTCAACCATGGGCATCAGGATGGACAATTGATTCAAGGGCTCAAAAATATCATTGTTCGCATTCTCATCCATCTGTAGAGAAAGCAAAATTAGATAATCCTTTGTCTAATAACCCAGAATTGCCCAAAATTCTTAAAGCTTTCAGCGAATTCGAAATGTTTCATGTTGAGACAGATCAAAGTAAGCTATTTTAGGGACTATTACTTCAAAGATCTCATCTGTGTTTGTGGTTTGCTGTGGTTTGCTCTTTAAAACACAGCACAAGAGTTTCTTTTTTTGAGAAATCATCCAACCATTCTCTATTTGTTTTATTTGTTTCTTCAAAAGTTACCGTATCATTTTCGGGGGCGGAGCTGTGATCTTTGCAAGGAATTTGGAGGGGGGAGCACAAGAAAGTAAAAGAAAGGAAAATAAAGAAAAAGTGATGAAAAACGTTTGACTGCAAAGATCAGTGCCAAGTGAAAAAACAGTATAAAAGATTGGATTTTGGGGGTTAATTTTCTTAAAAGCTTTTTATTTTTTGAAACGATGACTCAAGAAAAAGAAGATTTTCCCGAGATCAAACAGGGAAGGGCGGCTACTTTTATGGCAGGTTTGTTAAGTTAAATCGATTCTTTTACTTTTCTTTCTTAAATTTCAAATTCTATATTCTTGGGGGTGGGACAAATGCGACCTTTTTTTTAGCTGGAAAAGGCCTTAGGCAAGGCCGTAGAGCTTCGAAAATATTTCCATATAAGGGAATCGTATGCGTAGATTCCGAATTTCGACAAATCAGACCTCGCTGACACGTCAAATTTGCGCTAAAAGGCAAAAACTGCGGAAAAGCGTTAAGTTGCGTAGTTTTTGCCTTTTAGCCCAAATTTGACGTGTCAGCGAGGTCTGATTTGTCGAAAGTCGGAATCTACGCATACGATTCCCTTTATTTTTGAAGCTCTACGACCTTTCCTAAGGGCTTTTCCAGCAAAAAAAAGGTGCGTAAATGTCCAGGTGCGCAAAAAAGGTCGCATTTGTCCCACCCCCATATTCTTTCATTTATTTTTTAAAAGCTTATCTTGTTGATTATAGATTGTAATTTGGTGAATTTAGGGTTATTTATTGTTTGGTGATGGAAATTTACACTTTAGATACTTTAGAACACTTTAGCTCGAAAGATAAAAGAGATTTTGAAGCTTTCATTCTCTTATCTCACGAAAGTAATTTGAAAACTTAAATAGAAATAGCTAGAGTTTCTTTTTTAAAACGTTTTCTAAATAATTTCTCTTTCTTTCTACCTTTTCTTTCTAATCAATCCTGTCTCGATTCAATTTTTAAATCTTTTGATCGAATCGCTTTTATTATTTGAGATTTTTCAAGGCTTTGAGCTTTCAAGGCTTTGAGCTTCAGGCTTTGAGCTTCAGGCTTTGAGCTTTCAAGGCTTTGAGCTTTCAAGGCTTTGAGCTTCAGGCTTTGAGCTTCAGGCTTTGAGCTTTCAAGGCTTTGAGCTTCAGGCTTTGAGCTTTCAAGGCTTTGAGCTTCAGGCTTTGAGCTTCAGGCTTTGAGCTTTCAAGGCTTTGAGCTTTGAGCTTTGAGCTTTCAAGGCTTTGAGCAAAGCCTTCTCGTAGAGGATGAAGATGATATGGAGTCCTAAACCTGCAAAATCTAGCCGTCATACTCGATAAAGTTCTGACTCCTTTGTGACTAGATCGGTAGTGAACTAAAATCGGTAGTGAATTGCTTTCATTTCTTTCTCTGGCACATAGATGTCATCAAATCGCATAGAATTATCTTTCAGTGTTATCATTCTAGGTTCCACATCATCGGCATTCCATTTTGTTTTGATCTTTTGATCTTTTGAGCTTTTAAAAAATCTTTTATAGAATCTTTTATAGATATATAGAATCAGAAAACCAAAAGTAGATTGATTGGATAAAAAAGAGACAAGATTACGGTAGAAAGAGAAAGAAGACAGGATTTAGAAAACTCAAGAGAAACTTGATAAGCTTTTGGTTTGAGAACGAGTTTTTCAAAAGTTGATAGTCCATCAGATGACAAATAAATTCACTGTCAAATAAATTGGAGTTTTAAAAAGAGGCTTTTTGAGCAAAACAAACCCAACAATTCAACTCCAATCAATCCGAAAAAGATTAAACTTTCAGAAACTTCAATAACATTCAACGAAAAAGCAAATGTTTTAAATAATGATTTAAAGAAAGTCTCAACGAACTCGTCAAACTTTTCACAGGACCTAAAAACGTATGTTTTTTTCTTTAATAAGAAAAATAAGACTTTGATTTGAAATGAACAATGAACAGTCAATGAACAATGAACAATGGACAATCAATAAACAATGAACAATCAATGAACAATAACAATCAATGAACAATCAATGAACAATAAACAATCAATGAACAATGAACAATGAACAATGAATAATCAATAAACAATGAACAATCAATGAACAATGAAGGGGGTGGGACAAATGCGACCTTTTTTTTGCGCACCTGGACATTTGCGCACCTTTTATTTTGCTGGAAAAGGCCTTAGGCAAGGCCGTAGAGCTTCAAAAATGTTTTCATAGAAGGGAATCGTATGCGTAGATTCCGAATTTCGACAAATCAGACCTCGCTGACACGTCAAATTTGGGCTAAAAGGCAAAAACTACGCAACTTAACGCTTTTCCGCAGTTTTTGCCTTTTAGCCCAAATTTGACGTGCCAGCGAGGTCTGATTTGTCGAAATTCGGAATCTACGCATACGATTCCCTTCTATGAAAACATTTTTGAAGCTCTACGGCCTTGCCTAAGGCCTTTTCCAGCAAAAAAAAGGTCGCATTTGTCCCACCCCCAACAATGAACAATCAATGAACAATAAACAATCAATAAACGATGAACAATGAAATTCAATTTCAATCAAATCTTTCAGTGAACCTAAAGGAAAAGGCTTTTTGGAAGATCAATGCTTCACATATTTAATCTTTTGTTTACAGGTGGGGATTTTGTGCTTAAAATGATTTTGAAACAATCCGAATCACCCCAAAAAATAATGGCGCAATTTTGAAATTTTGAAAGATAGCTTCTAAAAACTTGGAGAACAGATTTTAAATGATAATTTCCATAAAAAAGGGCACGTAAATTCGTAAATAGAAACAATTTGTAGCTTTTTATATTTCGATTTTTCTTATTCATTTTCAAAAGAGTGCAATTTCCGTAAGAATTTACTCAAAAATTCTACTCAAACATTCTTGATCTTATTGAAAAGAATTCTATCTTTCAAAATCATCACAATTTCATTGAAGAATGGAAAAATAATCAGACATTTGAAATTTCTATTTCGGCTTTTTTTTTTCAGTTAATATTCTTCATCTTATTTGCAATATTCGCTCGCTATGATGAGAGAGCGATGCCGGAGAAAGGAGAAAATAATGCCGAAGAGGATTCAATTCCTTTCACAAAAATCTACTCAAGTGAGGCTTTTATCAATATAGATTTAGATAATTGTCAAGAATTTTTAAAATACATATTCACATAAATAATTTTGTACAAACAATAGACAGAGCAATGCCTGAGCCTGAGCTCAGAATATCCCATTCTAGATTGAATGCCGTAATCCAGACAATCTAGACTGAATACTCTATTCTAGACTGAATACTCTAATCTAGACTGAATACTCTAATCTAGACTGAATACTCTATTCTAGACTGAATACTCTAATCTAGACTAAATACCGTAATCTAGCTATTCTAGACTGAATATCCCATTCTAGATTGAATGCCGTAATCCAGACAATCTAGACTGAATACTCTAAGCTAGACTGAATACTCTATTCTAGACTGAATACTCTAAGCTAGACTGAATACTCTATTCTAGACTGAATCTGAACAGAGCCTGAGCACAACTCTTAAGCCTTAAATGTGAAAAAAATGATATATGCAAAAAAGTCCGCAATATACGGGATTGAACCCTTGATCTCCCAATCAAGAGGCAAGGCTCTTAGCCAGTCGGCCAATTTGTCAGCAAGTAAACCCATAAATAAATCCATCTTCTAGCGAATCGACCAATTTTCAGTGTACCAAGACACCCATGTGATGATCTTTATCGGTTTCGGCTTTTTGATGACATTTTTGAGGAGGTGGGGTTTTTGGTGATGAAAAGAAATGTTTTGAAAAACGAAAACAATTCTAGGTACGGTTTCTCGGCTTTATCACTCAATCTATTGCTGGCAGTGATCTCAATCGAATGGTCGTTGATTGTCAGAGGATTTTTCTCCGATCACTTCCGTGATCACGGGAAATTCGCGATCAAATTGGAGAGGTTTGTTCTGGATTTAAAAAAATCATTTCTATCTTTGACAGATTTCCACAAGTTGATTGGTGACTTTATACAAAGTTTAACCGGTCGTTAATTGAGATCATTGGGTACTTTCGATAAAATTACCGTAATCCATCCGCAATCTATCGTAATCCATCTGTAGTCTACCGTAATCCGTCCGCAATCTATCCTAATCCATCCGCAATCTATTGTAATCGATCCGTAGTCTATCGTAAACCAGCCGCAATCTATCGTAATCCGTCCGCATTCGATCGTAATCCATCCACAATCTATCGTAATCCGTTTGTAGTCTGCCGTAACTATCAGGTTGGCAACTAAATAATGGCCCTTTTCAGTAAAAACAAAAAATTTATTAACAAGATGAACAAATATCAACATCAATCCAAAAGGTATTCTCCGTCATTCTTTATTACTTCTTTCCACTTTTGACGGAGCAACTGGATTCCTCTCTTGAAAAATTCTTCTGGTTGATCGTCAAAGAACTTCTGCACTGAAATTCGGGCTTCGTCAAGGTCATTGAACTTTTTCTCGGCTAGAAAGTGTTGCATCGATCGAAAAAGATGGTAATCACTAGGCCCCATATCCGGGCTGTATGGCGCATGAGGAAGAACATTCCAGCCCAACTCCTCGATTTTCTCCATTGTAAGTTTTGCAGTGTGTGGTTTTGCGTTATCATGGAGAAAATGAATTGAAGAGGGATCGAGTCCTTGAGAGCGAATTGCTTGATCTAGACGATGTAGTTGAGACGAATAGAGATCTGAATTAACCGTTTGCCGGCTTTTGAGAACCTCGAAATGCACCAACCCACGAGAACTCCACCACACACAGAGGAGAGTTTTCTTTGAGTGAATATCCGGCTTCGGAGTTGGTTTTGGGCCTTCGTTTGTGCTAAGCCACTGTCGTTTTCGCGTTCGATTATCATAAAAGATCCATTTTTCATCAGAAGTAACAATGGAATCCAAGAAGCTTCCCTTTTTCGCAAGTTTTAGTAGTATTCCAGCTGTGATAACACGAGTAGCCTTATTTTCTTCGCTCAATTCATGCGGAATCCACTTTCCACTGCGGTTACTTTTCCCCAATGCATGAAGTCGCTTTTCGATTGCAGTATGCGAAAAGCCCAATCGATCCCCTAGCTCGCGTGATGTTTGACTTAGATCCTCCTTTAAAGCTGCTTCCAAAATATCGTTCTGCAGAAGTTCGGGTCGTCCTTGGCGAGGCTCATCTTCAAGACTTTCATCCCCTTCCTTGAACCGTCGATACCATCTCTTACATTGTGTTTCGGAAAGAGCTTCATCACCAAAAACTCGCAATAAATCTCTGTGGGATTCGGCAGCTGTCTTGTCTTGTTTGTAGTCGTACCAGAGACAGACACGCATTCGATATTTGAGATCTTCCATTTCTAAACAAAAATATTTGAAAAGTATCAAATCAAGGAAAGTAAAAAACGTATAATAATGCACCAGAAATTCAGTAATATTCAATTAACAACAAGCGAGGGTAGATTAAACGCAAAGATTAAAAGATTTTATCAAAAAAGGGCGAGGGCCATTATTTAGTTGCCAACCTAATACGATAGCTTTTACCATGCCATATCTAGCTGTCCAAGCGCAACCGGAGTACGGTAGCTCCACTTCTCCACATTTTAGAAAGCGCTCTATCAATCCAGTTTCTAAAAGGCACCAATTTTAATAGTAAAACCGTTAGTAATAGTAAAATTAGTTTACATTAAATCAGCCCAATTTCGGCATTAACTCCCAAAAATTGAAAGATCTCAATTGAATTTGTAATTTTTCTCTTCCGATTTCAGTCTTCTATCAGCTGATTTCTCAGCAGCAGTCGTGCTGATCTCGATGGGTGTCATGTTGGGGAAATTCACCCCGATGCAGTACATTCTGATGACAGTTATCGAGATCCCAGTGGCGGTGGTCATCGAATGGATTGTGATCAGTAAATTGAAGGTGAATTCGTTTTTTCTAAAAGCTTTCTTTTGTATTAGCAAATGAGAGCAGAATAAAATGGATGTAATTCTCTGAGAAACTTTGATAACTTCTTATAAGAAAGATTTAATAACGGCTTTACTCGGTCTTCTGACATTGCTAAACTTAAAACATTCAATTTGACGCTATAGCTTTACTTTTCATTTAACTACTTATAGCTTTTAATTTGAATTATTCAATTAAATAGCTTTGAAAGGTGTAAGCTTATAAAAAGCTTTAATTTTTTATTTTTACTACCGTATTTACTCGAATAGAAGACCTTCTTTATATAAAAAAACTTCATAGGAATTTATTGTAACATTTAACAACAACGACAACAACAACAACAACGACAACAACAACAACAACAACGACAACAACAACAACAACAACGACAACAACAACAAATTGTACTATTGAATGAAAATATAATATTTTTACCCTATTGGGTAAATTCCCTTATTCTTTTCCCGTCTTTGAGTACGTCCACTTTCCGGCAGAATAGAAAACAGGATACCTCGAATACAGGACTTATATTCGAGACGATCTTCTATTTTTTTCGATCATCGCCTTGACCCCGTCTTCTATTCGAGAAGGTTTTATAATCGAAACTGATCTTATAATCTTATTAGTCTTCTATTCGAGTAAATACCGTATTTGAAGTCGGCCATCTAAAGCAAGAAAAAAGAGGAAGCCATTTCCCGCATCAGATCGTCTTTCCAATGGCGTGGAGATGCTCATCAATAGTAGAATTTGAACATAGAAACTGTTGAGCAAGTTCACGCGTCGTTTGACATGGATCCGATTCGATTGCAGCCCTCAAAGTATCGTTGTCTACCACTTGAGGTCGACGAGAGTGTTCATTATCCTAGCGACTTTCATCGCCATTCCGAAAGCGTTGGAACTAGACTCGGCATCGGCTTTCGAACAATACATCATTCCCAAATGCTTTAACCAAATCACAATGGGATTCCGCGACTGTTTTGCCCAGTTTGAAGTCGTAAAGTACAGGGTACCTCGAGTATAATACCGGTCTTCTATTCGAGATGGGCTTCTATTTTTTTTCGATCATCGCCTTGACCCCGTCTTCTATTCGAGAAGGTTTTATAATCGAGACCGGTCTTCTATTCGAGTAAATACGGTAAATGCAACAAGGGATTAGATCTAAAAACAGTCAACAATAATTGCTAAACTTGAAACATTATGTTTGAAATCATTGCTAGTTTTCTTATTTTAACTTTTATTGCAATTCTTTAATTGAATAACTCTGAAATAAAAGAATAAATATCTAAAAAAAGCTTTAAAGTTTAAAAATTTGAGATTAACGACGCTGGTGGGTCGATTATTTTGCATACATTCGGCGCCTATTTCGGACTGGCGTGCAGTTGGGTAAGTAATTTTGAAAAAAAAATTGTAGAATTTTAGTATAAATTTTAGTATTTCTTGATCTAAACTGTACCTAAACTCTTTCTAAAATAATATAATCAAAATATTTAGGCTTTTCGCAAACCCATCCAGCGAACTCACAAGCACGAGGGATCAATTTATCACTCGGATCAATTGGCGATGATTGGTGAGTTTCAAAGAAGGCTCAAAGGCTCAAAAGAGGCTCAAAGGAGCTTGATCTCGAGCTGCATTTTGTGCTCAAATCTGTAAACACACCCTTTCTAGCGCACTGAATTCCTCGTCTTTCTCGTGACTGTGAGAAAATGAAGACTTAGTACACCAGAAATGATGTGATTACGTTTCCCAGCCCTGGGCCAGAAAAGGAAATAGTTTGTAGAGAAAAGGAAAGAAATTTGTACACCCTGAGCCGGTACTTGGCTAAAAGTTGTCTACAAAACAACAGCTATTTATTGCTTTTCTTAGGCTCAATCTTTTTGTGGATTTGTTGGCCTTCCTTCAACGCGGCCACCTCCGATCCGCAAGATGGGAGAGAGCGAGCTGTGCTCAACACAGTGATTTCTCTTGTCGGCTCAACGATCGCCACTTTTCTCGTTTCACAAGCTGTCGATCATCAAGTATCGTCGAATCTAGAATTCAAAATCTTCCAGATCCAATAAAACATAAGAATTTGAAAAGCAATGGTATTATAACTGAGAAATTCAGCGCAAATTCGACATGGTCACTATCGCAAATTCAACTTTGGCAGGAGGAGTGGCTATTGGTTTGAAAAAGAGAATCTTCTCAAAAAAAGCTTACAGGAACTGTCGCGAACGTCGTTTTAACGCCAGTTTTCTCTCTGTTGATCGGCTTCATCGCGGGCACTGTTTCGGTGATCGGCTACAAGTTTTTGACGGTAAAGATTTGACGGTTTCAATTTTAGGCGTTGCGGCTTATTTCAATACCAATCATAAAAACCTGAACGGGTTTTTGGGGCCATGGCGCAATCGTGTCTTGTCTACAGGGTGATCGCAAAGTATAGCGACAACTTTTTGAAAAAGTATCTAGCAAATGCCTAACAGATTTTAGAAGTGTCAAGTGTTATATAGAGAATTGTAGCCCTAATTCTCGGCAATATTTATCGACCAAAAACTTCCCGATTGGACTTATACAGCTCATTTAACAAGCGCTTGAATGAGCGCTAGTCGACATCCTCTTCTCCAATCTCTCTTCAACTTAAATTTTAGTTATACCGGTCTTTTATATATGGTAGATATATTTTAAAACTTTATATATCTTTATATATCTTTATATATCTTTATATATCTTTATATATCTTTATCTATCTTTATCTATCTTTATCTATCTTTATATATCTTTATATATCTTTATATATCTTTTATATATCTTAGAACTCGAGATTTTAGAGCTCTTTCTTTTAACAAAATAACAAAATCCTATCGTATTTAGCCATATCTGACGAATCGTTTCGGCTTACACGACACTTGCGGGGTGCACAATTTGCATGGGATGCCCGGGTTGATCGCCGGGATTTCCTCGGTGTTAGTCGTCGTGAATCCCGAGGGGAAATATGGGAACAGGTTCGTGAACTTTGAAGTGAACTAATTTCTATTCGATTTAAATTCTAAAATAGACAAAGCTCAACAATTATAACTTTAAAGCTCTAAATTCTATTTTAAACCTCAACAACTATAACTTTAAAGCACTAAATTCTATTTTAAACCTCAAAAGCTAACTTTAAAGCTCTAAATTCTATTTTAAACCTCAACAACTACAACTTTAAAGCACTAAATTCTATTTTAAACCTCAACAACTACAACTTTAAAGCACTAAATCCTACTATAAACCTCAAAAACTTTAAGTTTGGCTAAAAACAGTTAGTTTATCGTTTAGCATTGCTGAGCTCTATGACGGAGTGCGGACGACGATGAATGGCGAGAGTGGATTCGTTTATGGGGTTCAAGTAAGTTGAAAAATAAAGATTTTTCAGCGATTCAGTTATCTTAAAATCTCTAAGCAATAAAGAAACAAACGGATCAATCAAACTCTTCAGGCAATCCACCAACTCATCGCTTTGCTCATCGTTGTTTGCGCCTCCATTGTGGCTGGTTTGCTCACCGGTGGGGTAATTCTAAACAAAATATTGTATGATTTTATTCAAATTCCGAAGTTTTCGTAGAAAAAGTGAAAAAGTAGCATGAAAAATGTCAAGGATATTTAAAGATTAAGATCAATGACCATTGAGTTTCTTGGCTCTCACTTAACACTGCTAAACTTGAAACGAGCTTTTTTCTTTTACTGAATTTACTTCTTTTAAAAAATAAGATCTATTCTTTTGTTTAATTAAAGTATTCTAAAATAAATTGAAATAGAAAGAAGACGGGAGTGGGACAAATGCGACCTTTTTTTTGCGCACCCGGACATTTGCGCACCTTTTTTTTCGTACCTTGCCCATTAGCGCACCTTTTTTTGCGTTTTAAGCTCTAAAAGCTCTAAAAAAAGCTCTAAAAAGCTAATATTAACCAATTTCTATTCCAAATGTTGTTTTTCTAGGTAATTTTAGGGCGTAGAATCGAAATTTTGACATATCAGAGCTTGTGGAAGCGACGGACGAAGTTATACAAAGAGAAAGATCGACAATTTTCTGTAATTTGATCTAGCCGTTTTGTCTTTCAAATTGTCTTTCAAATTGGTTCCACACGCTCTGTTATGTCAAAATTTGAATTCGACACCCTCAAATTACCTAGAAAAACAACTTTTGGAATAGAAATTGGTTAATATTAGCCTTTAGGGCTTTTTTAAAACGCGAAAAAAGGTGCGCTAATGGGCAAGGTGCGGAAAAAAAGGTGCGCAAATGTCCGGGTGCGCAAAAAAAAAGGTCGCATTTGTCCAAAGAAGACAATTTTTTTGGGAATACCGTATTCTCTCTAATAGTATTACATTCTCTAATAGTGTCGCAAAAAAAAACGTCGCAAAGTCGCAAAAAAAAAAAACCGATTTTTCGTCATTTTTCAATAATTTTTTTCTAAGTGCTGGTTAATGATAAAAATCTGGGTTATATCTGAAAAAATTACTCAATTTCTCTACTTTAATTTGATATCTAAGCGCGCAGAAACAAACGTACTGGTGTCAAGATATTCGCGTTTGTTTGAGAGTAAACTTTAACGCAAGAAACGTTGCTGCGTTGCTGCGCTTAGACTACGCGACGCTATAGGGGGGCTTCTATTAGAATTACATTCTTCTATTTACCGTCTGTACACTATTTACAGTGTATTTTGTAAATCATTTTTCAGGTTTCTTCCTTCGATTGCGATTTATTAGACAAATTCGAGACGATGAGCATTTTTCTGATGCCGATTTTTTCGAAACACCACACGATTTTGAAATCCTCACAAATGGAAAAAGTGAATGAATGAATTAAAGATTATTTCATAAAAAAACAAAAGAAAATAACGAAAATATTGTATAGAAATAAATTATTGGTAGTTATTTGATTAAAAGTTGATTAAAAATTGATTCAAAGTTGATTAAAAGTTGATTAAAAGTGAAAAAATTCAAATTTAACTTGTCCAAAGATTTGATGTTGATGAATTGTTGATGTTGAGCTCTAATATTATAAAGCCGATCTCCTGCAGGATCCAATTCATCAACATCAAAGTTGATGAATTGGATCCTGCAGGAGATCGGCTTTATAATATTAGAGCTGTTATGGAACATTTCAATGTAAAATCAGAGGCTGCATTGATTCCGGGTAAATATGACACGTCTTTTTTGCCCACGTAATTTGTAGATCTGTTACAATTAGAATATACATGTAATGCTGAAAAACAGCAAAAAAAAACCAAATAATTGAATGAAAATAGCTTAATTAGCGCTGCAGCGAATAATCGCTGCGGTCCGTTCGGAGTTTTTGCTGCAGCGATTATTCGCTGCAGAAGTTTCGAATGGGTTAAAATCATAGCATAAATGAGACAAAAAAGGTTTCAAAAAAGCTAACAAGTAAAACAATTTAAGAAACTAACTAAGCGTAAAAACTAAATCGTAATTTTAAAACAAAACAAAATGTGATACCGTAAATACTGTAATAGTACCCCATCCCGCTCGTACAGTCGCGTAAGCTAGACTACGCAACACTCCGCACCGTCATTATGGGGATGGGGTACTATTACAGTACGGTAGGTTCCCTGAAAATGAGCTGAGCGAAAAGATACTAAACTTGAATCCAACAGATTTCCTTTTCGAGACGCCGAAACAATTCGACTTCGAGTGACTGGGACAAAGGGGCCAGATAAGCTTCAAGTTGTCAATATTGGCGGTGATTTGGATGCAAAAGATATTACCGTAAATACTGTAATAGTACCCTACCCCCATAATGACGGTGCGGAGTGTTGCGTAGTCTAGCTTTGAACGAGTTTTTCTCGACACTGGTTTAAGCTACAATGCGGGTTTAAATATCAAAAAATAGCTTAAATTCAGGGCTATTTTTTGATACCTAAACGCGCATTGTAGCATAAACCAGTGTCGAGAAAAACTGGTTCAAAGCTAGACTACGCAATACTCCGCACCGTCATTATGGGGGCGGGGTACTATTACAGTACGGTAGGTTCCCTGAAAATGAGCTGAGGGAAAAGATATTAAACTTGGATCCAAAAGATTTGAGAACTTTTTGTGAAGAAACTTTATAGCAAGAACCCTCGTCCATTACAGTGGCACAAATGTCGAAAATCCGGATGAGATTTCTCGATGCATCGTGGTTGAATGCCGAAAGAATTTAGTCGTTCAATGCCTGACGCTCGTCTCAATGTACCGCCTTCACCCACTCGAACGGCCTGCAAATTGTATTTGAAACTAAAGCTGTTTCTAGAGCTTCTAGAGCAAACTAAAGCTGCTTCTAGAGCTTCTAGAGCAAACTAAAGCTGCTTCTAGAGCTTCTAGAGCAAACTAAAGCTGCTTCTAGAGCTTCTAGAGCAAACTAAAGCTGCTTCTAGAGCTTCTAGAGCAAACTAAAGCTGCTTCTAGAGCTTCTAAAGCAAACTAATGCTGCTTCTAGAGCTTCTAGAGCAAACTAAAGCTGCTTCTAGAGCTTCTAGAGCAAACTAAAGCTGTTTCTAGAGCTTCTAAAACAAACTAAAGCTTTCTCAATAGCTATTCTCCATAGTTTTTTCAATAGTAAATTAAATATTAAAGAGTTTTTGATTTTTTAGAAGATTTAGAAAGATTATTGGGTAATAATCATAGATTATTGGACAATAATCATAGATTATTGACCGTTTCTAATTGTAAGACTCAGGGGGAACTAGATGAGTTTCTTCCTAAATATTTTCATGATTTTGTTAAGTGGATAAGATTTGAGATATCTTTCTATGTCATACAATAATCCTAGTTACAAAATCTGCAAAAAGTTTATCTCTAGTTTATCTCTAGCTTATCAAAAGATCCGTCAACTCACCATTTTGAAATGTCCCAATCCAGGCTCAGCGATAAAAGTCGTCATGTACAAATTTGTTTGATTTGCCGGCAAATAAACGATCGTCTTTTCAACCTGTAAGCTTTAATATTTACAGAAATGTTTACAGAAATATTTACAGATATATTTACAGAATTATCTACAAATTATGCTCTCCAAATAGATCTGGAATGAGTCTTGTCGTATAGAAAAGTCCCTCGTTTTGAAACTCACATTTTTTAGCTTGAGTCGATCACATTTTCGCGGGATTTTGTTTTTCTCCAAAATTTTATTGATCTCTTCGACTCCGAACTCGGCTAAACCCTTTTCGATATTGGGATCTCTGAAAAGGAATGCTTGAAATTTGATTGAAAAACTGAAAAACAATCATTTTGTTTCGACAATTTCGTGAGGATAAGCATATTTTACAAGATATTGAATAATAGTATTGAAAAGATTGTTTAAAGTTTTACAAGCAAATTAGTTTTCAGAGATCTCGATATCGAACCGATATATAAAGGGTTTGGTTGAGTTTGGAGTCTCTTTGACTTGAATTCGGAGTCTCGAGTCAAAGAGACTCTGAATTCAAGTCAAAGATACTCCAAACTCGACTCAAAGAGACTCTGAATTCAAGTCAAAGAGACTCCAAACTCGACTCAAAAAGACTCTGAATTCAAGTCAAAGAGACTCCAAACTCGACTCAAAGAGACTCCAAACTCGAGTGGAAGAGTCTCCAAACTCGACTCAAAAAGACTCTGAATTCAAGTCAAAGAGACTCCAAACTCGACTCAAAAAGACTCTGAATTCAAGTCAAAGAGACTCCAAACTCGACTCAAAGAGACTCCAAACTCGAGTGGAAGAGTCTCCAAACTCGACTCAAAGAGACTCTGAATTCAAGTCAAAGAGACTCCAAACTCGACTCAAAGAGACTCCAAACTCGAGTCAAAGAGACTCCAAACTCAAGTCAAAGAGACTCCAAACTCGAGTCAAAGAGATTCCAAACTTTATTGATCTCTTCGACTCCAAATTCCGCCAAACCATTTTCTCTCTCTGAAATCTCTGAAAACTAATTTGCTTGAAAAACTCTAAACAATCTTTTCAACACTATATCTTGTAAAATATGCTTATCCTAACGAAATTGTCGAAACGAATTGTCAATATTTTGTAGTTTCTTTTAGAAATTTGAAGTAATGCTTTGTACAGCTAGAAAAGCATTAAAACCTTTAACACCACCTTAAAACCAAACATTTTTCCTTAACAACTTTGAAACATATTATTTTAAAACCAAAGAATTTCCTCACTTTATTTTTGTGGTTCGATATTCACATAAACAATATGAGAAATCGGTGGGGATATTTCTACAATTTCGCTTTGAGAATTGTCCCAACGGACGTAGAAAAGAGGTTGCATTGTTTGGGTTGGATGAGTTGGGGAAGATTGGTCGTTCTGTGAAATCATTGAACTCATTTGTGATTGTCATCTAAATAGAAGATTTATTGAAAATTATTCATTTAAAGTTTCATTTTTGATTTTTATTTATTTACAAATCTGTTTATTAAATGGAGCAATATTTTTAAAAAAAATCAATTTTCTTTTAAAACGCTTTCTTTCTTTCTTTTCTTTCTTTCCTTCTTTCTTTCATTTCCTTCTTTCTTTCCTTTCTTTCTTTCCTTTCTTTCCTTTCCTTTCTTTCCTTTCCTTTCTTTCCTTTCCTTTCTTTCCTTTCCTTTCTTTCCTTTCCTTCTTTCCTTCCTTTCTGTCTTTCTTTCTTTTCTGTCTTTCTGCCTTTCTTTTCTTTTCAACTTACAATAATATTTTAAAATCCTATAAAATTCCAGTCTTTTGTCTAATTATAAGATTTCGGAAAAGATATTCAGCAAATTGTATCTAGCATTAGAAAAATTAAGACTTTAGATTTGTATTTTTTGTGCTGAAATCTAAATCACCATTTCCAATGCACTGATTACTTCACTTTACTCAGAGAAACGATTCAATGTCAAAAATGAGGCATTCATTTCACTAAAAATGGTGTATATGTTATCCCAAACTAAAAGAAATCCCACCCAAAAAAAGAAACCCCCCCCCCCGGGGGGCCCCCCCCCCCGCCCGACCCCCCCCCCCCCCCGGCCCCCCCCCCGGGGGCCCCCCCCGGGCGGGACGTCCATCTCTGAGTCGGACGTCCATCTCTGAGTCGGACGTCCGTTTCAGAGGAGAATGAATCTCCTCAGATTCGGACGTCCGGATCGGAGATGGACGTCTCCTCAGATTCGGACGTAACATATATAAGCACAAACTATAAAGCTCAATTCATCATTTTTCTTTTGCATTTTTACATTTAACGATTTAAGTTTCACATAAGCGCAAAGTTCACAAACGACTATAGAAATAGGTTTTACAAAACTCACATTCATGATGTCAAGCAGTGTGGCATGAACATCAAATTGAGTCAACAATTTTCTCGAGTTTATCCTCAGATTTTGAAGCAGCTAAACAGTTTTTAAAAAGAAAAAAGAAAGAAGAAAAGAAAGAAGAAAAGAAAGAAGAAAAGAAAGAAGAAAAGAAAGAAGAAAAGGAAGAAGAAAAGGAAGAAGAAAAGAAAGAAGAAAAAAGAAGAAGAAAGAAAGAAGAAAAGAAAGAAGAAAAGGAAGAAGAAAGAAGAAAAGAAAAGGAAAGCTTTACCTGTTGATTATCCCTTAACCATTTCGGTAAAATCATCAAAAACATTGGATTTTTCTGCTCTCTTTGTCCCAACTCGGTTTGAAGAGTCTGACTGTTTCAAATTACAAGTTTAAAAGGCAACTTTTTTAAAAAATCTTACTCATTGACATAAAAGCTACCGTAAACACTGTAATAGTACCCCACTGCCCTCGTACAGTCGCGTAGTCGCAAAAGTTTTAGTCGTTTTTTAGTATTTCATTTTTTTCAAAGCGCCCCTACTTTCAAAAAATGTGTCTTTGGTATCAAAAAATAGCTGAGATTCAGGGCTATTTTTTGATACCTAAACGATCAACGAGCATGACGGTGCGGAGTGTTGCGTAGTCTAGCTTTGAACGAGTTTTTCTCGACACTGGTTTATGCTACAATGCTCGCGTAGGTATTAAAAAATAGCTCAAATTCAGGGCTATTTTTTGATACCTACGCGAGCATTGTTAGTATTCTCCATAAAACCTCGAAACTCGCAAGGGGAAGAGTGAAAGTCTTAAAGTCAGCTTGAAAACTTTGATTCTATAAGTCAATCGAAAAGTTTTGAGAGAAAGAGATGGACTGGATCAAGCGAATCTTTATATTTCATTTGATTTTGTGGATTGATTGATTGATTGCTTTATGTGGATCCAAATCCTATCCAAAACCCATCCAAAACCCATCCAAATCCTATCCAAATCCTATCCAAATCCTATCCAGATCCTATCCAAAACCCATCCAAAACCCATCCAAATCCAATCCTATCCAAATCCTATCCAAATCCCATCCAAAACCCATCCAAAACCCATCCAAAACCCATCCAAATCCTATCCAAAACCTATCCAAATCCAATCCTATCCAAATCCTATCCAAATCCTATCCAAATCCTATCCAAACCTATCCAGATCCTATCCAAAACCCATCCAAAACCCATCCAAATCCAATCCTATCCAAAACCCATCCAAAACCCATCCAAATCCTATCCAAATCCTATCCAAATCCTATCCAGATCCTATCCAAAACCCATCCAAAACCCATCCAAAACCCATCCAAATCCTATCCAAAACCTATCCAAAACCCATCCAAAACCCATCCAAATCCTATCCAAATCCTATCCAAAACCCATCCAAAACCCATCCAAAACCCATCCAAAACCCATCCAAAACCCATCCATATTTTCACTCACCGCTCCAACTCTCATCCCGTGATCGCTCATGAAAATCACGAACGAATTCGAGAGAACATCGGCGTTTGATTTGAAGAGTTTCTAGAGGAAAAAAATCGAAAAACTTCTAGAAGCCTATAAAAATCATAGTTTCCTATTGATTTAATAGCTATTTTTAAAAAATATTCACCTCAAAATCTTCATCCGCATGAAAGAGAGCATTTGTGTCATCATGAGCAAGTGCACCGACCCAAGTGAGGCCAAATTTTGGTTTTTCTAGATATTTCCCTAGATTTTCGATTAAATTTTAGCAAATTAAGCAAATTAATTAAGCAATTCGTTTTAGAAAAGCAATTTCTAATTGATTTGCTGACTTTTCTTGTACTTTAGGAGTTAGCCTAAGCCTTTGAAACACGTTTTTTTTTCAAGATTTCACAGTAATTATCTTTTATTAGAAAGAAAAATAGAATATAATGATATTATAAAATAATAATAGTACTTTTAAGAAAAAGAATGTAAGAATATCTTTTAAGAATATCAATGCCACTTACTTTTATAGGCTCTCATGAATTTCGCGTGATAATCAAGCTGGGCTTTGTGCATTTCAAAGCAATTTTGAGTGCTCATATAGTTTTTTAGAACGCTTTCCTTGTGGTGACTGGAGACGAATGGACTGCAAATGTTGAGCTTTTAATCTTTTTTTATTTTTTAGCCTAGATTTCTGCACGGAAAGCTAACGAAACGTGAAAACAGCGATTTTTTGGCTCTGCCGCCCTTTACTAAAATAGCTGTAAAAACTTTTAGAAAAGAGATTTCTCAAAACGGTTTTTACCAATCGATCCGTCTTGAATTCAGCTTTAGGATGAGCTATAAATTGGACAAATTTGGGCATTCAAAATTCGACAAATTTAAGGTACTCTCCCAAAAAATCCGAAAGGAAAAATCCACCAACCCAATAGGTATTAAATATAGTTTTTTAGAACGCTTTCCTTGTAGTGAGTGGAGACGAATGGACTCCAAATCTTTTTAGCTTTTAGCTTTTTAGCTTGCAAAGCTTTTAATCTTTTTTAGATATTAAATATTTGACTTGCTTAACGAGACAAATGGATCGAGACAAACGAGACAACTCTAGGCGCTTCATCTAGCCTCCAGAGTATCGAATTCAAATGAACTTTCTTTTTATTTAAAAGCCAAGATTTTAAGCTATCGAATGATACTGATCGCTTATATTTTTCTTTTGAAAAATTGGGTCAAAAACCTTATCGAGAATTAACAAGACAATTCCTCGTTATCTCGTTAATTCTCAATAAGGTTTTTGACCCAATTTTTCAAAAGAAAAATATAAGCGATCAGTATCATTAGATAGCTTAAAATCTTGGCTTTTAAATAGAAAAAAGTTCATTTGAATTCGATACTCAGGAAGCTAGATCAAGCGCCTAGAGTTGCTCGACTCATTTGTCTCGTTAAGCAAGTTAATTCTCGTTATTCTTCAAAATATTTCCATATTTATTGTAAGCTATAAAAGCATTTTAAAAGCTTTTTTAGTTGGAAACGTTAAAATTCACCTTTAGTGGCCTTTAGCGGGCCTTTAGTGGCCTTTAGCGGGCCTTTAGTGGCCTTTAGCGGGCCTTTAGTGGCCTTTAGCTAGTTACTCACCGAAAAAGGTGATGAGCCTCACGATTTTTGAAACCCTTACATTTCGGGTAGGTGAATGTGGATCCTTCGATGTATTCCTCACTGTAGAAAGTTTTGTAGCCTAAAGAAAAGCATCTGTAGGGTTGAATTTGAAACAGAACAGTATTATTTTTTTGATTTTAAGCTAGCTTTTTAGCGACAAAGGGCTATTGCTTTATTTCAAAAAAGAAAAAACAGACCAATTCTCTCGAATTCCCGAAAGATCACTGTATCATTATCGTGATATTGATTACAGACTTGATCCATTGAAAAAAGTGGAGATAGATCTTCCGCTCCAACTGAGGCTCTTTTTGAGGAAGCAATTCGCCAACCTGAAAGGAGGAATTCATGAATTCACGATGAATAGAATGTCCCGTAAATAGTCTATTAGAGCTTCTATTAGAGCTTCTATTAGAGCTTCTATTAGAGCTTCTATTAGACTTCTATTAGAGCTTCAATTAGAGCTTCTATTAGAGCTTCAATTAGAGCTTCAATTAGAGCTTCTATTAGAGCTTCAATTAGAGCTTCTATTAGAGCTTCTATTAGAGCTTCAATTAGAGCTTCAATTAGAGCTTCTATTAGAGCTTCAATTAGAGCTTCAATTAGAGCTTCTATTAGAGCTTCAATTAGAGCTTCTATTAGAGATTCTATTAGACTTCTATCGGAGCTTTAATTAGAGCTTCTATTAGACTTCTATTAGAGCTTCTATTAGAGATTCTATTAGAGCTTCTATTAGACTTCTATTAGACTTCTATTAGAGCTTCTATTAGTATTTGTTTCAAGCTTCAAGTCTTCAAGTTTCAGCTTTTCCGACTACGGTAGTTTCTGTGTAAAACAATAATCCGAATTTATTGCATTGGGAAGAAGAAAGTTTTTGTCTTTAGATGTTTTCACTTGTTCTCCAGGTTTAGCTATGTGCTTAAACCTTGAATCCCGTGAAAAACCTATTCTTCTACCTTTAGACTTGAACATAAACCCTAAATTGTTTCAAAGATTGTTTCAAATATCAAATAAACCTTAAGAAACTTGAAACAGTTATTTTATTACTTAGCATTTAAACCGTTTGATGAAAATAAAGGGAAATTTCTTTTAGCTCAATGATTTAAACGCTCAAATGGCAATTCTTTTTGATTTTGATTGATTTTGATTGATTTTTGATTGATTTGAATGCTAAAATGAATCATTCTGACTTTTCGAATCATTCTCGAGCTCAATGACTTTGTGCCTTTGTGCTTTAAAGTCTAGGCAAAGTCTAAACAAAGTTTAAAGTCCTTTCTGACTCACGGAAATCTTGCATTTTCTTGTAACACTAAGCCATTGCCGCAAGAAAGTGAATCCAATGATTTGTTTACAGATTTGATCAAAAACTGTACAAAAAGCAACGTCACCCAATAAAAAGGCGTATCCATTCGGTAGACTATTGTCTCCAACTTTATTCAAATGATGTAATTGAACGGCTTTCATTACATTTTGGAGATAGCTGAGTGTTCGTGGGAGTGATCTGAAAAAGAAAATGGTTAGTAATCTGCATTTTTTTGATTTGAGATTTGAGAAATAGAAAACTTGCAGGAATATTAAAGGGATATTTAAAGGATATTTATAGAATATTAAAGGAATATTAAAAGAATATTTAAAGAATATTAAAGGAATATTAAAGGAATGTTAAAGGGATATTAAAGGGATATTAAAGGAATGTTAAAAGAATATTTATAGAATATTTAAAGAATATTTATAGAATATCAAAAATAAATCCATAAAATTGGTTGATAAGATTGAAATTTGATTTTTAAGCTTTAAAAGTCACTCACCTTCTCGCTTGGGTCGATGACACTGAATCGAGGACAATTATGTGAATATCAGGTTTTCGAAAATCATCTTGTAACGGCTTCACTTTGACTACAGTACTAAATATCGTATTTTCTCTAATAGTAGTGCACCCTGATCATCGTTTAAATTGCTCGAAATCTCGAGAACCGCTGATCAGAACCTATCGATGTGGGATCGGAAAATGTAGCTGACGATGAGATCTAGTGGGGGATTAGTGAGAGGTACAAGCAGTATAAATCAGGAAGCCAGTCACGATCGTTCAAGCTGAGCCTGTGCTATAGGAAGCCCTGAGTGTCCGTCAGTCAGAGCTGACTCTAGATCTGACTAGTTGACTGTAGCCTGTCTTTCTGTCTGCTTGGAACATAACTATCGACTTCTCTCTCATAGTAGTGCACCCTGATCATCGTCTAAATTGCTCGAAATCTCGAGAACCGCTTATCAGAACCTATCGATGTGGGGTCGGAAAATGTAGCTGACGATGAGATCTAGTGGAGGATTTGAGTGTTGAGCTTCTGCAAAAGCTTGGAAACCGTAAAATAGTCACCAACTCGGCTCGCCAGGGTGCATTGCTATTAGAGAAAATACGGTAAATAGCTGATTGGAAGAATTTAGTACACTAGAAAGGGAACAAGAAATGGTAAAGAAAAGGAAATCAACTATTTTTAAACTATCCAATCGATGCATTTCCTTTGCTAACTATAAAAGAATGTTTTTGAAACAAATCACAAACCTTTGCGTTGTCTCGACGATTTGTGTGTGCAGCGTCTGATCGATTGTTTTATTTTGTGCATCAAAGCACTCAACGCGCACGAAATCGCACTCAACTTCCGCATTTTCGTTTTTTTTAAATATTTCCATTCATCGACAGAGTGAGCGGTGACATTGAGGTAATAATGGCATCTGGAAGAGATTTCTTGGCTTCAAAATGATTGGCACAACGTTCAAGTCACAACAGCTAATGATGGGCTGTTTAAAGGCCAATTGCAGAATAAAAGTTGATATTTTTATGGAGAGATGGAAAAACTTATTTTTCGCTTTTTGAAAACCAGTTTAAGTCAGTTGAAACAGTGCTTTAGACAATGTGAAAAGGAAAAACAGTTTGCATAAAATGCTAGTTTCAAAATATCGAAGATTTAGAATGAAAAGCTAGCTATTCGCCACAATATTAAAGATTTTGAAGTAAAAGCATTCTTTTAGAATTAAAGATTACCTATATCGACACAATTCGACAGCAATTTGAGATCGTTTTATCGAGATGTACTTGTTTTCGAGCTTCGTTACCGCTTCATATCGTTTATTGCAGCTAAATGTAAAGAATTGAATTCTATTTTATCGATTTTATGTTTATTTTATGCTTTTAAAGACAACATAAGCTTTTTTTTTTAGCTTCACTTAGCTTTACTTAGCTTCCCTTAACTTCCCTTAGCTTTACTTAGCTTTACTTAGCTTCCCTTAACTTCCCTTAGCTTTACTTAGCTTTACTTAGCTTCCCTTAACTTCCCTTAGCTTTACTTAGCTTCACTTAGTTTTACTTAGCTTCCCTTAGCTTCCCTTAACTTCCCTTAGCTTTACTTAGCTTCACTTAGCTTCACTTAGCTTCCCTTAGCTTCCCTTAACTTCCCTTAACTTCCCTTAGCTTCCCTTAACTTCCCTTAGCTTCACTTAGCTTCACTTAGCTTCACTTAGCTTCCCTTAACTTCCCTTAACTTCCCTTAACTTCCCTTAACTTCCCTTAACTTCCCTTAGCTTCCCTTAACTTCACTTAACTTCACTTAAATCAGATTTAAACACTTTTGAACTCTAATTTGTGTTTCAAACTTGTAACTAAAATTGTTTTTGCCTGTTTTTCAAGATTCGATTTTAGTTCTTCATTTTTATATTATTATTTTAATGTATTCCGGGTTTGTTTACTAATAAAAACCTTATTGTAACTAAGTATTGAAAAATCAACTTTTAATGGTTAATGGCACTGTTTTTGACACTAATAGGTTTTCAACTTGCCCTACAAACCCTATAAATTCATTTCTGCGTTAAAATCTTTTTTTAAATTCTTAAAATTCTTGTAATTTCTCGAAAAAACACGCTCTCATTATGCTAAAAAGAGAAAGGATTTGAAAAGTCATCAAAATTTTCCTCTAATTATCACCAAGTAATTTCCCGTGTTTTAGATAACAAACGATGGATCTATATAGAAAAAAAGCGATAAACTAATCGAATAAAATTTATGACTAATCGAATTTTCGTGATTTTCTTCAGGAAAATGTATTGGGTTGTTAGAAAAATGAATCGGAGTATGAGCTTTTAACCTAACTTTTAACCTAGCTTTTAACCCAGCTTTTAACCTAGCTTTTAACCTACCGTCAATACTGTAATAGTACCCCACCCCCATAATGACGATGCGGAGTGTTGCGTAGTCTAGCTTTGCACGAGCTTTTCTCGACACTGGTTTATGCTACAATGCTCGCGTAGGTATCAAAAAATAGCTCTGAATCTCAGCTATTTTTTGATACCAAAGACGCATTTTTTGGAATTACGGGCGCTTTGAAAAAAATGAAATACTAAAAAACTTTTGCGACTACGCGACTGTACGAGGGGGGCGGGGTACTATTACAGTATTTACGGTAGCTTTTAACCCAGCTTTTAACCTAGCTTTTAACCTACCGTAAATACTGTAATAGTACCCCAACCCCCTCGTACAGTCGCGTAGTCGCAAAAGTTTTAGTCATTTTTTAGTATTTCATTTTTTCAAAGCGCCCGTACTTTCAAAAAATGCGTCTTTGGTATCAAAAAATAACCCTGAATTTCAGCTATTTTTTGATACCTAAACGAGCATTGTAGCATAAACCAGTGTCGAGAAAAACTTGTTCAAAGCTAGACTACGCAACACTCCGCACCGTCATTATGGGGGTGCGGTGCTATTACAGTATTTAGCTTTTAACCCAGCTTTTAACTTTGTTAACTTTTAAAAACCTACCCAGCAATGGGATTCTTGAAATTGATTGTTCCGCCAATCTCCTTGTGAAATGGATCAAAAATAGTCAGCTTGCATTTCGAGAAAACGTCGAAATCCTCATCGATTTCATCGATTTGCGTGAAATTCAACTCGTTTTCCCCATCAATCTCCCCAAATTCTTCTTCGTATTCTTTTGGTGATTCGTAGTGAGCAAAAGATTTGACAACTGAAAGTTTAAAAGCATTTTGACTCAAATTCATTTCTCATGATTTGTGGAAAATATCCGAATTTATCTAATGGTTTAAACGGACTAAACCCGAGTAATTGGGAGACTCAATGATACTCAATGAACGGCTTCAATCGCTTCACCGATCCCGAAAACCCTATGAACTTTTGGCTTCATATCTCATCTGAGCCATGTTTACGGAACAAAAGAGATTCCTTTGTAAAGAGGTGTTCTTTCTGCGGTCTTTGTGCGGATGCGTAATCGCGCGCTGTCTGGCGCAGGGTTTTTTCATAATATGGGGACTTCCAGCCTAATCGTGTTTGAGAGATTTATTTGTTTCGATCACTTTGGGGCATGCCCACTCAGCGCAACATTGCCAGGTCTCCAGTACTCCAGGGCAAAACCCCTCAAACCCAGTGTACCGGAATGGGTGTGTTTACAGAGTTGAGCACGTTACCATCAGTGCCGACTCCCAGATTCTTCAAAGTTCATCAATAAACCATCTGAATCGCATTGAGCGCGAATTTTCGTCGCAAAATGAAAGACCAAACCAATCTGTATCACTTCTTCACAAGATAATTATAATATTATTGCTTGGTGAGAGTTTAGGAGATCTCGATCCCGAGTTCCAATTGGTAGACTCAATAAAATGAATTTCTCCAATCAATTCACCCCGAAAACCAAATTTACAGCTGAATATCTTTTTGAGTCATATACAAAGAAAAGGAAAGTCCCAATGTAAATAAGTGGCAAAATGCTCTTTGTGCGGCCACGTAATCGTTCTTCATCTGGCAAACCGTGCCGGCATAAGGGACTTTCCGTTGGGTGCGGCCTGGAGAGATTTGTCCAAGACTTGGGAGTATTCAAGGCTAGCTAATAGTGAGCTGCTAGCTAATAGTGAGCTGCTAGCCAATAGTGAGCTGCTAGCTAATAGTGAGCTGCTAGCTAATAGTGAGCTGCTAGCTAATAGTGAGCTGCTAGCTAATAGTGAGCTGCTAGCTAATAGTGAGCTGCTAGCTAATAGTGAGCTGCTAGCTAATAGTGAGCTGCTAGCTAATAGTGAGCTGCTAGCTAATAGTGAGCTGCTAGCTAATAGTGAGCTGTAGCTAATAGTGAGCTGCTAGCTAATAGTGAGCTGCTAGCTAATAGTGAGCTGCTAGCTAATAGTGAGCTGCTAGCTAATAGTGAGCTGCTAGCTAGTATTGAGCTGCTAGCTAGTATTGAGCTGCTAGCTAGTATTGAGCTGCTAGCTAGTATTGAGCTGCTAGCTAGTATTGAGCTGCTAGCTAGTATTGAGCTGCTAGCTAGTATTGAGCTGCTAGCGAATAACTATTCAAGGCTAGAAATATTCAACTCCAAAAATTGTACAAAAAGATTTTTACGAGTTGATTAAAATAAAAATTCAATTCATTTAAAATGTTTTTACAAGAAATGTTTGACTCTAGCTATTTTACTAAAAAATTACAATATTTTATGGCGAATAGGATGTATTTTTAAAGCGAATGGGATTTATTACCTTTTGCTTTTCGAAATTGACCCTTCTCAACTTGAAACACAAATTCTCAGCGTTTCAGCCTATAGAATTTTTTTGAAGTAGAACTTTTTTAAAGCTCGACAACAAAAGGAAAATGTGAACCCCTTAAAAGCATAAAACTTACCATATCTCCTCACTGGCTGTTGAACCGGTGTTTGACTCGTGAAATTGTCGATTAGCAAATATATTAAAAAGACAAACGTCAACAGAATCAACAGCAATCGATCTCCATTCATTTTGAAAACATTTATGAGGACGAAAGTTGGATACAAGATTTCTGGACAAATTTCTGGACAAATATTTGAAATAAAGGCGATAAATCTAAATTGAATGAATCGTTTAGATCACTTTTCTCTTCTAAATTCCTTTCACTGGCGTTTCTTATCAATTCTATGCGTGTTGCGCTTTCGGATCTTGTGAAAAGGAGAAGCTATGACTTTTTCGAAGATTTTAGCTTAATGGAATTGAGAAATGGATGGAATTGGCTAGTTTTTCTACAAATTCGTCCACTTATCATTAGAATTGTTCTTAAAAAGTTAAAAACTAGGCTAGCTAGGCCAGGAAAAGTCACGAAAAACCTTCAAAATCATTTTTAAATTCGTTTCAAACGTTTTCTTCTGTTGATTACTTCAAAATCACTTGTCATTCATTAAATCATTTTGGAATAAATGTTTCAAAATGCTGAACTTTAAAGTACACATTTTAAAGTACAATTTAAAGTACAATTTAAAGTACACAGTTTAAAGTACACAGTTTAAAGTACACTTTAAAGTACACAGTTTAAAGTACACAGTTTAAAGTACACAGTTTAAAGTACAATTTAAAGTACACAGTTTAAAGTACACAGTTTAAAGTACACAGTTTAAAGTACAATTTAAAGTACACAGTTTAAAGTACACAGTTTAAAGTACACAGTTTAAAGTACACAGTTTAAAGTACACAGTTTAAAGTACACTTTAAAGTACACAGTTTAAAGTACACATTAAAGTACACATTAAAGTACACATTAAAGTACACTTTAAAGTATAATGGTAAATTATCAAATGGTATCAAATGGTAAATTCCATTTGATGAGTCTAATTTGGTTCAATGGATTCGAATGGGTGGGATAAAGTAGTGCTTTTAATGTATGGCACACATGTCCA